TGCATTTGGAAACTTACAAAAGTTGGTGCTACAGCTCTTACCTGCAATGAAAAGTCTCTTTCCATGCTCCCTAGTTAAATACTTTGTGCAACTCCAACATCTTGAGATAAGTCGGTGTGAACAACTAGAATATATTGTGGCAAAGGAAGAAGGAGGAGATGAAAACGATACCGAAAGGATCGTCTTCCCAAAACTCAATTACCTTGATATGGAGGATCTGCCAATGCTTAGAAGCTTCTACCCAAACTCTGGTTGTCTATTTCAGGCACAGGTGTGCTTATCTGTTCTAGTATCCTTAATTATGTTTAGGCAATACTAAAAGTGTTTGCTGTTTTTTTTTTTTGGGTGCGGTTGTGGGTTAATGGCCTAACTATGCACGGCTCACATCACCCAGTAGCTCTAAATATCTTTTTTCTCCCTTAGTTTTATTATAGTGACATTTAACATTTGCAATTCATTTAGAGAAAACTACACGTTAAAAAAAATATAGTGAGATGAACTAATAAAAAAGAAAATGCTATTTGTACCAAATTTTATGACCTAATCTCAGGACCTAATTTAATGCGGTCATTAATTGAAAGTGGACTCCATCTAAAATTGGAACTTACAACTGATCTAATAATTACAAAAATTAAAAACAATATTAAGAACAGAATTGTGGGATGGTATATATTGTGTTCTCTCCTTCCATTTGGAATTAATGGTCTTCGTTGTAAAATTAAATAGAAAGATGGGCATTTTAACTTTTTTTAACTATTAAATCACACTTGCTCTTCTATTCCAAATGGGAAACAATTATAAGAACAAAGGTTTGTTTGGTGATTAAGAATAGTTAATTTAGATATCAATATCTTACCTCTATAATATTGGTCATCTATTTGCGACTTTTAACTCGTCAATTCACCATCATCATCTCATCATCTTCCATCACACAATCTATTTTGGCTATATACACTAAGCAAAAATCTCTCCCCCCCCCCCTCCCCCCCTCTCTCCATGAGCGTTATCCTTCTCAACAAGGCATGCAGAATTCAGCACCACCAAGATCACCAAACAGACCCACAACCATCACAACTTTGTCACGAAAATCATTCACTGTCACCTTTGTCATTGTCCACGTCAACTATAGATGTCAGCCGGTCGAATTATATGATAATTATTCAGCTCCAAAACTTACTTGAATTTAATTGTTGTGCCAATTAGTTAAGATTAGTCTATATTTGTTACTTACTGTTCAAGAAAAACATGTTGAAACAAAAGGCATTGATGTGTACTTTTTTTGCACGAGAAGATGATATTTGTAGTATAGTTAGTGGAAGGGATAATTTTAACAAAAATAGTTTTCAAAAATTTTATCAAACTCAAGCTAACAAAAGGAAAAGACATTTAAAACTACAAACCCTGAATATTGGGGATTAATATTTATGGAGCTCAGTTTTATATTTAGAAAGACCTTTAGCATCTAACTATAGATATTAACATTATTTTTGAATTAAAACACTATAGAGGTACTTAGCTTGCTACCCGGTAACCTTTGATTAATGTGGTTTATGTTATTTGATTGATTATTTACTGGTTCATAATTTATCATATTTACTCTTTTCATCAATTTCCATATTTGCCAAATTTTAAAACGACTTACGTAAAGAAGATTTTAATGAATTTTAAAGCAGCTGAAAAAAGAAAAGGTAAGAAAAATTTGGAAGATAGAGAGTGAAAGTGAGATAATAAAAAATTAAGAATGGAGAGTGAAAATATTATCATTTACAAAATTGAAATGATGAGAATGATTATAGAAACAGTTGGCCAAAAACTAATAGACTAGATGTTGCAGGGTTGTCCTCAATAAGGAGGGTAGAGCTAGATTGATGTTTTACTGTATGTTGTTAAGGATCAGTGAATTTGTAATTTATCATGTCCATGTACTCAAAATAATCAAGTGATCAGCATGCTAATTGGATATCACAGGTTTATTTGCCTAGCATTGAGAGAATGTTCAACGGGAACATGGGTAACGTACTACACTTAGTGGAATGCCAAATGCAAGTTGGGTCATTCGACAAATTACGAGTCATGCATGTGCAATCTTTTGCTGCACTAGGAGCAGTGTTTGATTTCAAGGGGGTAAAGGTTAGAGAAAGAGATGTAGAAGTCACATTTGATCAGTTACATTCATTGGTACTACTTGATTTACCTCAGCTCACGCATATATGGAGGATGGTTCCCAAAGAATTTCAAGGTTTCAAAATCTGACAATCCTAGTTATCGAGGAGTGTCACAGTTTGAGATATTTATTGTCACCTTATATGAAAAAATTGCTTGTGAATCTAGGAGAGCTAAAGCTGAGAAATTGTGAGGTGATGGAAGAAATCATAAACTCGAAGGAACTAGAGGTTGCATGTGCCGGCGAGCCCGAGTATCTTATCTGTAGGGATACTTTAGAGGTAGGGTCATTTGCATTTGGAAACTTACAAACGTTGGTGCTAGAGCTCCTACCTGCAATGAAAAGTCTCTTTCCATGCTCCCTAGTTAAATGCTTTGTGGAACTCCAAGATCTTGAGATAAGACAGTGTGATCAACTAGAATATATTGTGGCAAAGGAAGAAGGAGGAGATGAAAACGATACCAAAATGATCGTCTTCCCAAAACTCAATTACTTGGGGATGGAGGAACTGCCAATGCTTAGAAGCTTCCACCCTAACTCTGACAGTCTATTTCATGGACAGGTGTGCTTCTCTTCTCTAAAATCCTTAATTACTTTTAGGCAATGCTATAAGTTTTTGCTTTTATTTTTTTGGGTATAGTAGTGGATTAGTGGCTAAAAATCATTTGTTTTCCTAATTTTATTATAGTAGTGACAATAAACATGTGTAATGGATTTGGAGAACTACACGTTAGAAAAAATATAGTGAGATGAACTAATAAAAATGAAAAACAATATTAAGAATGCAATTGTGAGATAGATATAGTTCTCCTTCCTTCCATCTGGATTTTTTTTTGATTCGATTGCATCCGGAATTAATAGTTTTCTTTGTAAAACACCTAATTAAATAAAATGGAAAATTATAATTTAAACCCTTAATGGTCTTCCAAAGTCAGATGCACCAAACTCACCATTGTCATCTCATCTTCCATCACACCATCAATTTTGGCTATGTAAATCAAGCAATAATCTCTCTCTTTCTCTCTCTGTCTCCCCCCCCCCCCCCCCCCCAATGAGCGCTATCTTTCTTACAAAAAATGCAAAATTCAGCATCTCTACTTTGGTACCAAAATCAATCAAGACCTGTCACCTATATATTTCTCACATCAACTACAATTGTCAAAAGGTTGAATTTGTGTACATAGTCCGACCGTACAAAATATAAAACTACATTTATAAGGGTTCAATGTAGTAAAAACCTGAATTCGGTTAAATTAATAGAAATAGTGTGGTAAATATATATTTTTTGAGGACTATTTGATTATTGTGTAAGACATTCTATACCATAAAATTTAATATACCAAAAATCGTAATTTCTTATATATCATTGGATTCATATCAAATTATTCAGATTTATGGATCTTTTATCAATTTCAATACAGTAAAAACCTGAATTTGAATTTATGGCTCTTTTGTTTAAAATTTTAATTATCATGTTTGATCATTAATACTTTTAGATCTCACAAATTTATTAACTGTTAGAGTAAGAGTAATGCTATAGGGAAGTAATTAGAGATTTAAATCAATGCAATTATTGGATTATTTGTTAGTTTTAAAGTTAGATGGAGCTTACTTTCAATACAATGGTTACATTGAATTAGGTCCCTAAATTAAGTGAAAATATCATTTTCTATTAGAATAATGTATGCAAAAAAAAAGTTTCTTGAACCATCATATTACCAATCTTCAACACCACTATCACCTTCATTGCAACCTCCACCCACTTTCACCACCATATGCTTTTTCTCTCTTTGGCCGTCCATCCTGCCACCATCGTCAATGCTTATATTTGGGATATACATCATATTACCTTTAGTTTCAATTTGGTCCATCAAAACTTTCAATTGTCTCAATTTAGTTATCAACTATCAATTTTGTCTCAATTAAGTTCTTCTGTTCATTTCTATCCTTAGACTAACGCTGAAATGAATTAGACTGGATTAGTGTTCAGTAGATCTAACACTGGAAATTGATAAGAGAACTTAATTAAGACGAAATTAATAGTTGAGGGACTAAATTTAAACAATTGAAAATTTAGTGATCAAATTGAAATCGATGGATGTTATAGTACTATAGTTAGTGAAAGGGAAAAAATTAACAAAAATAGTTTAAAAAAAATGTTGTCCTACCCAAACTAACTCAATAAGGGAAAGACATTTAAAACTGCAAACCCAAAATAATAGGGACTAACGTTTATGAACTAAGTTTTATATTTAGAAAAGGCCTTTAGCATCCTTTTTTTTTTTTTGAACTAAAACTCATTGTACTGAGGTACTTGCAACCCATTAACCTTTGGTTAATGTGGTTTCAATTATTAGATTGATTATTTACAGGTTCAAATTATAACATATTGACACTTTTCATTAATTTCCAAATTTGCCAAATTTCAAAACCATTTAGATAAAGAAGATTTTTATGAATTTTAAAACTGTTGAAAAAAGAAAAATGTGGAAGATAGTGTAAAGAGTGAGAGTGAGAGTGAGTTAAATAAAAAATTTCAGTTGATGGAGAGTAAAAAATAAATTAGTGAAAAGACTGATTTTCATTTTTAAAAAAGTAAAATAATTGAAATGATTATGGAAATAGTAAGCCAAAAACTAGTAGATCATACGCTGCAGGGTTGTCCTCAACAAGGAGGTTACAGCTAGATTAATGCTTTATTGTGTGTGGTTAAAGGATCACTGATTTTTCATTTTATCATGTCCATACATATACTCAACATATTTCATGTCATCAATACACTGTTTGGATATCACAGGTGTATTTGCCAAGCATGAAGGGAATGATCATCAAGAAAATGGTCAACCTAGTAGCAGTGTTTGATTTCGAGGGGCTGAAGGTTAGAGGAAGAGATGTAGAAGTCACATTTGATCAGTTGTATTCATTGCAGCTATTTGGTTTACCTCGGCTCACGCATATATGGTGGATGGTTCCCAAAGAATTTCGAGGTTTCAAAAATCTGATATTGCTAGTCATCGGGAACTGTCACAGTTTGAGATATTTATTGTCACCTACTGTGGCAAAATTGCTTGTGAGTTTACAAAAGCTAGAGCTGGAAAATTGCAAGGCAATGAAAGAAATAATATCAATGGAACAAGATGGTTCTGAGACCAACGTTGCGGAAGAAATGACGACATATAAGATTGTGTTCTCACAATTGAGCATTCTAGAGCTTGTGGATCTAGAAAACCTCACTTTTTTTGGCTCTGGAAAGTATGAATGTCAATTTCCTTCATTAAACAGCGTGGTCATTAGAAACTGCAAAGAAATGAAGAATTTCTGTTCTGGACCGATATGCACGCCTAAGCTTGAAAGAGGAAAAGTACAAATTGACTTCAAATGGGTTTGGATGGGTGATCTAAATACAACCATACAATGTGCAGAATCAAGGTATGTCTTTCATTGTTTATAATTCTTTAAGTCAATCAAAATTTTCTTTTGTTACCTGATTTTTCAAGAAGATAATTATGCATAATGATATTATCAGAAACTAGAGGCAGAACTACTCACTTGTTAACTACCTCCACTCAATTCTGCTTTGCAAAATACAATTTTGTATAGATTTTAGCATATTTTATTTTAAATTTGCCCCACAAAAATATTAATTGCGTCCCTCAAAAGGTGTTTAAGAAATGATTGTGAAATTCTTCTTTTTTCTTTCTAGATTTGACCTCCTCTTTCTCTCAATGTTGTTCATTTATATTTATAATAAGAAAACTAGTCAATAGCAAATTGCAAATGTAAGGTAAGATTTCTCTATTATGAACTAGGCATTAATAATTTGAGTCGCAGAAAACACTGTCTTATATACTGTAGAAACTCGCACACTGGGTCTATTTTTTTATTCATCATTAGATCACAAATTTTAATCTTACTATCATTAAAATTGAAATACTATTGTGATATAATTTGGAATCCGTCTTTGCTAATCTAATGTATTGTCATCATGGTATTAACTATGAGTCTTACCATTGATTGTAGTCTAGTTTTTATAAACCAACAACAATAATGCATTAGGTCTCCAAATTATGCACATGTTATATTATTGTTGTTAAAAATTTTGCCCCACTAAGCCAAATTTCTAGCTTTGTCCCTACCAGAAACATTGTTATTGTTGGAAAATTTAAAGCTTATAAACCTTATTCTTAATAGGATAATTAAATAGATTTTATGGTGGGGTTACCAAGTATGACACATGACCATTGGTCTCTAATGCCTATAAAGAGGACTATTCCAAATGGTCCTATGTCTAGACAAATTAAGCTTCTTTTCTTACCTTTATGCAACTTTAGTTTCATTGTTGCTCTTAAACTTCATAGTTTTCTATATAATATGTTTTCAGAGCAATTTCGATTCAAATCAGATTCACTCTAATCTTTCAATGGACGTGACTCTGGAAGAGATGTTGCTTGTAAGTATATCTAGTTTGGATCTTGGAGTTGCATATGTGCATGAGTATCTTCACGTGTGAAGATATAGCTGTTTTAGGATAGTGAATACACGTCTCTCACATATCACATATCATGGCTTTCTAATTTATTGTTGTCTATTCATACTTTTATAATCACTTGCTATAGTATCATATATTTGGTTTGTATTTTTGTTATTTTATGTTTTGATAATTGATTCGGGAATTAATATTTATGAAATTATGCTACTTTTCCCAACGGTTATTTCTTTAACTATTTGCATTTCTAAATTGTATGTAAGCCATCACTTCTTTTTGTCTTACAACTTTACAGAAGTAGATGAAGGCGAAGGTGAAGGTGAAGGTGAAGATGAAGACGACGAAGCATAACAAGATAAAGTAGCAGAAACTTTAAGACTTGGAAAATATGTTCACTTGGGCTCTCTCTCTCTCTCTGTGCAGTATATGATCACAAGTTAAATGATACCCTAAGTGCACTAAATAGCCCTTTCCTTGAGTAATGTCTGATATATGAATTTTCAGTTTTGATGCTGATTAGTTATGCCACAAATTGATACAGATGGAAGTTTGTTTTTGATAGTCATGATTGCAATGGGCTGAACCATGTAGTCATTCAAAGTGGCTGAGAGAGTTGTTTGGATGAACAACTATCCTCCATGGCTCCTTAGTTTACTCGTTTTCTGTAAAATAATTTTATAAAAACCTTTGAACTTTCTAGTAATGTAAGTGTTTGCCTTCTTGAGGTTGACAAAAGTAAAGGATGAAAGAAACCAAGGGCAACATGAGTTTATTTCCCCTCCTGAGAAGTTTATCATTCACAATCACAACACTTTTGTTCAATCGTCCCAAGGTGGGATTGAGAGAGGCTCGGACTTTACGAACATAGCACAACATAGCAACCTTAGCCCTTTCTATAGAAGCTCTTTGAAATCGATTCAATGCCTACGAAAATTTGGGCCTAGCTTAATTGATCACTCTTAATCTTTGCAAAATTTTGCTAACTTAAGAGGTCAAAGGGTGGATCATTGTCCAACACAACACAAGGTGGTGTTTTATTGTGCCTTCTTATGACCCCCTCTGTGGGAGTTCATCCCACTATGAATGTTTTATCATCTTTTATAAATGCATTACTTGAAAATTTTTATCCAAGGAAAAGAAAAATGACCATATGGATCTTGCTCACGTGCTAAAAGAAAATCACCATTTGGGTAGCATATTGCTTTGAGCATTCGAGCTAAATAAAAATTAACTTGACAGCACCTTGAATTTTGTAATTCTGAAACACTAAAACTGGTTCATTGAAATATAAGAGTTGCGATGAAGAACCACACATGTTTTTACCATGTAAAAATAATTTTCAAAAAAAAAAATCCCTGAACATAATTTTCTTAATTTTGCTCTTAAAATATGATAATTTATATATTATTCCTTACTCTACTATGATCATTTGTAGTGGCCGTTTAAGAACTACTCTAGTAAGATAATTTATATGCGCACACATTTATCTAGATATGAACTAGCACGCACGTAGTATGTTGCATGTGTACATATTTAAACATTACTTTTTATTTAAAAAATTAAATTAAATTTTTAACTAAATTAAATAATGAATTATGTGTAAAATAATTCATTTTTATTTAAGTTATTGTTAAAAATAATTATTAATCTATTCAACCGTTCTTTAATGACCTGATCTGTCATTTTTATTAGGTCCCATCACTTTTGGGCATTTTCTCATTTGTTATGTAGTTTCTGTCACGCCCAAATTTCACAAAAGTATGATTAAAAAAAATTACTTTATTTATTCCAAAAATATATGCCGATTTGTTGTAAAAACATCTAGAAAAGTATCTCTTTAATTCAAATAAATCATTCTTTTTTGGAAAAATTTTAACAAAGTTTCCTTTGAAAATAGGGCATCTGGATAATTGGTGAGAGCTACCTGTGAAAGCATTAAACATAATAATTATACTTAACCAGTCATTTACATCATATCAATCATATACATCCCTTCTCATTATATCAACAAATAAGTCATTACCGTTCAATACTGGGGTGGCAAATAGAGGCCCATAAAATTCTCTCAAACATAGGTTATAATCTAATTATCAAAAAAATTTCGTCATGAACATAATATGCAAAATATCTAAAATTTTTATGAGTAAACCATTTAAACGGTCTCAATCTATACATATTCCCTCAAATTAACCAAGATATAAATCACTTACAAATCCTCAATCATATACGTCATCATACATTGTTCTTTACATACTCTAACTAAATATATAAAAATCATAACAACTATCTTCTGCCTCGATACTCTCACTACGTAACCCACCAACATATGCCCATAACTGAAAATGTTAAATAATAGGGGTGAATAACCACATGCTCAATAGGATAAGTCTTTTATTAAGCATTTACAAAGTTTTAAATACTAACATTTCATAAACCATACGAATAAGTAATGAAAACTTTATATAATTTAGTATATGAACAAGGTAATAAGTAGAACATTTATAAAAATCTCTCAACACATCATCATTAGAAATATACAATGTACAAATTAAAGGTTTATACATTTTAAGTCAAACTATCATAAAAAATATCATGCATGCCACGCATACGGACAAAATAATCAATCATACTGGTTCACGCATAAACCATCCTCAGGAAACTTTTTGGGTCTTGCACCCTAGGGTCTCATCACCCTTCTTGTTTTTCGTATGACTACCCTAAGATTTTTCAATGTTCCGAATCTATTTTTAATGTTATTTTAGGCTAAAAATATTTATTTTTATGAGTTCTATAAAATCCAAGCCAAAGTATACCCAAAATGCCAATTTACAATTTTTACCCTTTTAGATCGCAATATCAACTAAATATCTAACCCAACTTTTTTTTTTTTCGCTGCTCTCGGATTTAGTAGCGATGTTCTTTTAACCTATAAACTTTTAGAATGATTATTTAACTACCTTTCTAAAGCTTTCATGCCTGCAACTCTATGTTTGACCAAAAAGTCATTACGTGCCAACTTAAACCTTGAGATTATTTTACGAATTACACTTCTAAGTTTTCAAGACCATTTTTATTATTTTATGAACATTCTTAATGCATTATTTATATATCTATTAAAAAATAATACAAAATCTTACAATTCGATCATGAAAACATGTGCCACATTTTTACCAAATATATTTTTCGTCTCTGTCATCTTCATCAAAAACCTCCTCTTTAACTCAAAAACATGGGCAACTAAATCTGGACGATCAACAGGTTGTTGATGTTCTAACAAAGTTGAAGAAATTTCTAGCCAATTAGGATTTGTAGTCATGGTGAGAAAAATGTCTGGGTGTTGGTTGTAACGTGTGATAACCATCGAATCTTCATAGATTTCAAACATATGTCTAGCACTACCAGTGAATGAAGATCTAAAATTCATTCATTGACCAATTTGATCGGGTCTCGATTCATTTGCACAAACATCGGTAAGTCCCTGGTAAAGTTCTGCACGAAGCTTTGCTTGATTAAAGCTTATAATATGTCAATCGATTATGTTTAGTAGAGGCCCAAGCATCTACTATGAACTCCTTAAATAATTTTTCCACTCTCAAAATTGTTGAATACTTAGTATCGCGTTGAAACATGCAATAACTATAAAATTGCAACTGAGTCAATCGATTGGTTGAAGGTCCACCATGAGATTTGTCCCACTATCTCAATTCAGGTTCCCATCCAAGCTCACCATAAAGAAACAGTAATACATAATGTAGAGGTAAATATGCAGGGTGGCATTCATTAATTTGCATTAACGCATTATTCTCTCTCATATGTAAAACGATATCTCTCATTCCACTTAATTCAGTTACATCACCGGTAACATAACCGCAATTTCATCTGTCGTTGAGAGATTATACTGACGTCGATCTGTGGAAGAATTGTAACAAAAATAAGTACGTAAATTTTGACCTACCACGTCTGATTGACTTAAAATCTCATAAGTCTGCTGAAATGAGGCAGCCTTTATATAACCCACACACACACACCCTAAGACTATCCAATGTGGGATAGCCCCGGCCCATCACCACGACTTACAATTGATTGATAGAGGAAAGAGCAAATAATAGATTCTTCCATTGGTGGTGGCCTTTTCTTTTCGGTTGTGTGGGAGGGTGGGCTAGGAAGCATTAGGAAACCACCATTTATAATCAATTTCTGTAAAAGCTTTATGCATTACTGGTGTCTTCTAACAATAACTCAAAGCATCAAGAAGTGAAAGGGAAAACTGGTGGACAATTTGGCAGTTTTTTGCCACGACAGTTTTTTCACAATGTCATTAAAATGAAGACTTGGTACATGCTCTCAACAATTTTAATGCACAATCATAAACAATTGAAGAGAAGAACACTTTGTGATAGTATCCCTCTATATTTAGATACACAATGAGAAAGTAAAAACAGTCTGGAAGTGCAAGGTGTGTACTGTATGAGTGTCCAAAATTTAACTTCAATTCAATCAACATAAGCATCAAATTTTCTTCAGAAATTTCAACCCTTTTGTTCAAAGAAGTCAAGAGGAAAAGCTCAAAAGTCTACTTAAAATATTATTCTCCATTACACCCAACTGAAAAGCATCACTTTTTATTTAAGTAGCAGAATAAATTGCAACATTCAACTGAGGCTAGATTAAAGTCTTTCACTAAACACAAAAAACATGGTTTTCAGAATTCGAGCAGAAACACAATAACATAGAAAGAAAAACACCAAAAATGAATGTACAGGTACAAATTTCAATAAGAAGGGTTGGATAAAATCCTCTAATTACACCTAAAAGCACTATGTGTGTGTGTGTATTAGCGAATGTGGGTATACAATACTATTACGACTTAGAAACAGCAAAAAAAGCTCCAACACCCTTCATAAAGAGGGAGGATAGAGATTGGAGAGAGAGGCGCTAGTTTCTAGATTCAACGAGTGAGCCAATGGCTATTTTTCTTCTCTTTGGTGTTCTATCAATCACCTAGTATGCATTAGTGGGTGGTCCTAATGAACCCCGAATCATATTGTGAATTCGAGCCATAGGAGAAAACAGAAGCAAAATACAATCAAATATCAATGATTACAAACTCAACCATTCTTTCATTTGATGGGTTGCTTCTTTCATTTGATGGGTTTGGTGTATTGTGATAATCAACACCTCACTCATATCAATGATAACCAACTCAACCATTCTTGTATATCAATTCAAACAGATCAACAAATGATAAGAGATACTTGGTTTATACCTAGTTCTAAGTCACTGTCTTAAACGAAAAAACATACAAGTGGCAATTTTCCAGCAGAATCCTAACACACCAATTACTTGTGCTC